TTACTCGGCTGCCATTTTTATGAGTGCAGCTTTCACGAAGTAGACAGAGAGTACATATGTATATTGTTCTTTTCAGTATCTAATGTCTAATAATAATGGGTATACACGCGTATTCGTTCTGATTATCGAATATCACATTGCCTATTTCAGCTATAACCTTGACAATTAGTTAACTACAGACTCTCTCTTGAGAACTAGTCGAACTGTTTTTGGATTATTAACGAGTAATGCAAAGCTGCTTAAGTATTATTATACTTACTGGAACTCCAATGAAATAAAAACAAGAGGTTGGAATTCTGTTATGTCAATTACATTTATTTTGCAGTTATTTTCTTTTCATATCTGTTTTTTTTTATGCTTTACGAATTTTTCGTTCTGTCAAACGGATTTTGGATTTGGATATTCGCTATTATTTTTTGTTTGAATTACAACAAAATGATCATTATAGACTTTAAAGCGATTCCCATTGTACATTATAAATTCCGTATTTGCATGCGTAGTCTGTTTAACAATTTCCGCAACGATTTCCATTTTGAATTTGGGTTGACAAATTTTGCTTTTATCTTTTGTTTTTGTTCTCATTTTTTATTTTCTTTTTCTTTTTTTTTTTTTTTTAATATACATAACATACTTATTTCATTCAATTTTATCCTCTGCCTGCAAAAAGATTAATTTAATATGGAGCAAAAAGTGTTGCAGTTTACTTTGGTTTTTAGAGAAAAATAGTTACTTGTACATTTATGTATGGATTTTGTTCTGTTTTGTTATCTTGAGTTCATGAAACAATTTTATAGTTGGCTCTCAAATGTTGTTATTGGATTTATAATTCTGTTTTATTTATTTTTTTCTTTTATTTTTGTTTTTTTTTTTTTTTTTTTTTTTATATTTTTTTAATTTTTTTTTTTTTTTTTGTGTGTGTATTTTTTGTTGGTAATTATGTTTTGGATTTCTTTGAATAGCATATTATATTAATTCTTTTTTGTTTTTGTTTTTGACTTACACTAAGTTTTTCAATACATAATAAAAGAAACAAAACTAAAATGTTGGAAAAAAACTTTGTGTAGTTTTGTTGCAGTATATTTGTGTTTTAAATAAGGCAAGAAATCAAATCACCTACGAGCTGCAATTTTTGTGCCAGTGGCTAATCGATTCGAGCTCGATTCAAATAGTTTGCTTCGAACTTGAATAAGTTTGGCGAAAGGCCGCACGTCGCGCTTCACAGAGGTCTATGCAATATGGGAGAGGTTAAGTCGAATTTTCCACCATAGCCAAATAATAGTAATTTAATTTTAAAAGAAAATTACTTTTTCCACTTTTGTAATATTATATTTAATTTTTTTTTTTTATTTTGACGCGCATTCATTATTTTTTTTGTCAGTTCCATTGCATAGACGACTGTCCCGGCGCTCAACGTGTGCGATCGCTAGGAAATTCACGGAAATCGGGTGTGGTCTGATTAACCCCAAGCACCGAGCCCCTTAACTGCAACAGGTCGAGGTGGTTTGCTGAACGCAAAAGTCGTGTAAATGTCTCTTTAGAAGTCGGTACAAACAAAATGTTTGGTAGTGTGTTTGTATTTGGATTTTGGATTTTTTTGGGCGACTGTTATGCGATTTCCGTGTTAGCATAACAGTAAATGAGTTAAAAACGGTCTGCTTTTGTGCTTGCTGTACGTGAGTGTGGGTGTGCGTGTATACTTGTATGTGCTGGAAAAGGCGACTGGAAACACTCTGCAAGGAGTTCCTTCTCATCGGAGCCGGTTATTCCCACTTCCAGTCGCCTTCACGTGTATCGTGTGTGGGGATGGCACGCTTGTGCATGCGAATAACCGCGAGTGCAGACCATGCACATGCGCCCCATCCCCAGCAGGGATAATGGTATTACAGCAAGTTTTCTCAGTGTGTCTTGTGTTTAACAAAAACGTTTAATGTAAAAATAGTTAAATAGTTTTCAAAAATTGTTTTTTTATAAGCGTTTTGAAGTTGAAATTGTAGTGTCTCCGGTTCTTTTCTTTTCTTCATCAATCTTTCTTTTCATTTTTATTTTTTATATCTTGTTTTTGCTTTTCCATTTTTCTGTAAGTGGGTTCAACATCCAAAAATGTTCAAATGCATGTGAAATACTTACGTGCCCCAAAAACTGACTGACTGACCGACTGGCCGACCAACAAAGGCGGACAATCGGACAGAAATACTTTGTAATCAGGCACATTGTTTTTTTGTTTGTTTTGTTTTTGTTTTTCTGTAAGAAAATGCATTCGTTTACTTTGAATAATATTTGCACAACAGCGGAGAAAATTCATACCAATTGCACAATCCAGATTTTTGTTTAGCTCATTCATAATTTCATGCATCTCATCGTACGTACATCCCTATGCAGATTCATACATATGCACCTGAAAGATGCATATGCATGTATCTGTCATATGGTCTGTGTGTATGTACGGAATTCGAATTTGTAGTACAAATTTCTATCGCTAGTTCGGTTAGGCCTATCTAACGATCTTTTGATTTTCATATGCGAATTGTTGCGTCCCTAATGGTTTTTATGTCTATGCAATCTATGCAATTTGCAGCGATTTTGTTGAAAACAAAAGCTTCGTAAGAATTTTCTCGCATCTGTTGTAACTTTTATGCTTAAGCTTTTTGTGTGTTCTTTTTCTTTAATTTTTTTTTTGTGTTACTTTTCCGTGTAGGTTGCGCCAGAGCGCTGGGCAGCACGGTTCCGTCATCTGGTGGCCAGTGCTGCCGTTGCCAAATTCGTTAATTTTGTTCTCTTGCTTTGTTGCGATTCATCATTTTCTTTTCGTCAGTTGATACCAACAAACAATTATTTAACAATTCAATTTTGTACTATTTTATATGTTGCTATGCTCTTTGCGCTGGTTTTGTTTTTGGTTTTTTTTTTAGCTTTCTTTTCTTCTTGCTTATTAATGGTATCACTAATCTGTCGTTGATTTCTTTTATACATACATAGGAACGAAACGGTAAGGAACATAATTGAACTTGAATTTCTTTTCTTACAACGTTTGCCAGACTATTGCTGTGTGTGAGTGAGTGAGTGTGCGTGTGAGTGTTTGTGTGTGTATGGAATAAAGATTTGAATATATCATCATATCGACAGCACGCATGCACACATACTTCTATTACACACTGTGCATGTCCTGTGCGTACACATACATTCATACATTCATACATACGATGCTGAGTAGTTGATGCGTAAATTTGATGCTTGCAGTTGCGCCCAGCTGCTGTTATAGTATTAGTATTAGTTGTTGTTCTTGTTCTTGTTGTATTTTTAGCATTAAATAGTATGTAATAGTTGTAGTTGTTTGTTTGTTTGGTTTTCATTCTTCTTTTTTTTTGAAATAGATATTTTTATTTAGTTGGTTACAGTGTAGGTCGCGCTGCTCGTCAATTACTTTTGCGAGCCACTGTTCGACTTTCGAGCTGTTTGAGTTTAACGTACTTATTGCAGACGATCGATGATATAGTATGACTATGACATAGACACCATCTCTATACACATATACATATATAGGAATAGAAATACACATACATACATATACATATAGTAAAAGAGTTAATTTTGATTAAAGTTGTTTGGCTTTTTCTTTTGATTTGTTTCATTCTCTTTCATCTTAGTTCAATCTGTTGCTATGGCAATCGACAATGATATTATGGCTGCTGTGTGGTTCTGTCTGTGGTGGTGTAGTTGTGTAGTGGTGTGGTTTTGTGACTGTGTGGATGTGGTAAACACTGCAATGAGCACGTTAAATCAGACGCTCGCTATACCATATTCAGAAGTCCGTATTATTTGGGCCCGCATCTGCCTCGGCGGCATCGCCCACCTCACCCACGCTCGGTGGCAGCGCCAGCGACAGGTGTGGAGTTGCTGAGCCGGCGACGAGCATGGTTGGCTCCGTGTTGCGTCGCTTCATTTTAAGTTTATTCTTTTTTAACATGGTGGCCTAAGTAGGTGAGGCATGATTCACAAATCGATTAATCAAGTTAATCAAGTTGAAGAGGTTAAATGGAAATATTGAAGTTTTTTGGCGTCCGGTGCATAAATTGATTAAATTGATTAAGAGCGGATTAAATGTATATTGTTGTTGTAGTAGTAGTTGTTGGTGTCATAGATGTTATACATTCAATTGTTGTTGTTTATAAAAGATCATATTAATTTATGTTCAGTAATATATAGAGAGATAGAGAAAAAAGAGAGAAAGAGTATAAAATGGAGAGTTAACATAAATTAAATTATGTTATTATGATTATTATTATTATTATTTTTGAATTATTTAGTTAGTTAGTTTGAAAACTTTTACATATTGGAAACCAAAGTATTAATGGGCAGTAATTAATTTCAAATCAGAATTAAAAAAAAATTATGTTTAGCAAATCAAGCAAAATGCACGAAATTGGAATAAACTAAATTCCAGATGGTAAATCATTTGCATCTCTAGCAATTTATAATCAACAAAATCGAAAACAAATGATGTACATTTTTTGCTCAGTGTATATATAGTATATATGTGTGTGTGTGTGTGCGTGTCTGTGTGTGTATGTGTGTGTGGTGTGTGCAGATTAGTTGTAATTGGGCCCTGCACACTCTAAGCGCATTTCAAAAGTAGGGTAAAAGCTTAAAAAATAATTTTCAAAATCAACTAAAGAAACTCTTCAGACGTGTGTGCGATTATGTGTGTGTCTATGTGTGTGTATTAACGTTTTACAACTAGTTCAAGTTTTTAAAAGCGGTGGTCTTTATATTATTGTTGCTCTTGGTCAGAGGATGGTGGCTTATTATTTAGGTGGTTCGGTTTTAAGTATTCTATAAAAAGAGTTTTCTTTTCGAGTTTGCATCAAAGTTCTGTCTAATTGCTGCACCAGTTTATTCACAATGCTTTTAATAACCTCAGCTTGCACAAGTTTATAGTATATTTCGATTTGGTATATGTGTATGTTTGGATTTTTTTTTTCTTTTCTTGTTGGTTGCTTAAATTTCTTATACTATGTGTAGTCGTATGTAGCATTTTGTTAGGTTTCCTATAGATCTGCGTTTTCATGCATGCTGTGGCTGGCATTTAGTTTAGTTGCTTCTCCTGCCGTTAGTGTCTCTATGTATGTTGTTTAGGTAATGGGTCGGCCTATGGAAAGAAACAGGAGAACCAATATCGTACACCGGACACGTATGCCGAGGCTATACTCTATGTGCTCCCAAAGGGTGCCGAAGGCGGCACTGAAATATCCTTGTCGCCATTTTCGGCCGCATGCTGCGGCTGTTGTTGGGGCTGTTGCTGTTGTTGTTGCTGCTGCTGTTGCTGCTGTTGCTGTTGTTGCTGCTGCTGCTGTTGCAGCTGTGATTGTTGCGGTATGTTCTGTATGGCTGTGGTGCTGCCAGCCGCCGAGACGCTTAGCACCGCCGGCGAGATATGCGGCTCCGTAAGTCGTCGTTTACTCTTCGTTTTCTTCAGCATGGTTGCCTGAATGTAGCATAAAACACACACAAGGGTCAAAGGCGACATATCTCAACAGCTCAACACATCAACAACGTATACACCCAAAGAAAAACAAAACATGTACAGTAACAATGCGGGTTGCTGCCCTCAATGGAATTTCCTATACTCTCTTATACTCCATTTGCTCAAACATTTCAATAGTTTTTTCTACGTATATTTCAAAATCCAAAGATCTATTGACATTGAATCGAAGTGACGAAAGAAAAATGTTGTTCCGAAAAGAATTACGTTTTTAATTTGTTCCAAACTGAATCAGCTTTATGAAATATCTATAAAAGTAGGACGAATCCATTTCACTTTCTAAATTGTTTTCCTTCTTCTTCTTTTTACATTCTTAAGGGGGATGCGGAATTATATTATATATATATTTATATATCTTGCAGAATACACACAAAAAATTGAGTTGGAGAAATACTGCATTATATTTGTATATACATGGGTTCTGGTGGGGTTTATGGGGACGGCAGGTGCTCGAATATATAGAAATGTATTTATGTATAAATATATATGTAGAATGTAAACACAATTAATATCGAATATAGACACGCACTAACAGTGACAAAGTTTGGTTTCTATTGCAATGGCCTTGCTATCAACAACAATTAGCTGGATTAACTTGATGAACAAATCATATCACAAAATACGTGTAACACAATTATTCAGTTGGACCGTAATATTTGCATTTTGGGACATAGGACGTGGCTGTTGGTTGATTGGTTTGGTTTGGTTTGGTTGCATGCAAACAGTTTTCATTATTATCATTATTTTTGTTTTTCGTTACATAAAAACAAACAGACACAGTTTCAATTCAATCATCAAATCATTTCCTACAAAGGTCGATCTACTTTTAACATACAAATGTGGCAACAAACAAATTCTTAAGCTATTTTCCCCTGTTTAAAGCTGTTTAGCATGTAGATAACAGCAGGATATTGTAGTTGTTTAATGATCCTCAATCATCAATCATCATCAATTAATTGTCGTTAAAATCCGCGTCGTATAACATAGAGCGAAAATTCTTTTTTTTTTTTTTTCTTTTTTTTTGTTTTCCACTAAATTTTTCTAATTTATAACAACGTTATTGTTTTTTATTCGTCTTAACATATATATATATTTTTTAGGTGGATTGTTCAAGTATTATCTGTGGTTGCTGACTCATTAGGTGTACAATCAGTAAGTAACGTACGCAGAAATTGTAGAGAAACCATAAAAAGGAAAAGAATTGGAAAAAGGCGCAGTAACAAAGAGTTTTGGTGCAGATGTTTTGAATTCATCGGGTCCATATGATATTGCTTGTATGTATATACAAAAGAAATGATAACGGAAAGCTGTCATGCAATAATAACTGAATATCTGAAACATGCAATCCTAACTTATATACAAAGGCGTTTAATGCTTGGCTCGCACATACCTTGAGCGCTGACTTGAGGACCACAACTTCGCCGGGGCTTTGAATCCATGGCTCGCCATCCACCTGTACTGGCATATCGGTTTTCAAGTGTATCTTGATGTGACCACCCTGAAAAGACGGCACAGAATTAAGTATTTTTTTTTAAGTACTTTTCCACAGGGCGTATGCTTAACCCACCTGTGCTATGCGCATGGCCGTGCGTATGCCCGACTGGATCTGTCCCAAGTGCACCACACCGGTTACTCCCACGACCTCCAGCATGCCATCGTAGTGATTGGGCGTGCTGAACTGATCATCCTTATCCGGACCCCAGGGATTAGCGCCACTGCCCCAGCTGTGCGAAGAAACAAGAAGAGTGATTACCAATAGGTCATACGATATTCTCATTATCTAAGTCTTATGCTTACCTCAATATATTTAATATGATGATGCCGTCGACCGGTGGTAGATCTACAACCTTGCCATCGACCTCTAGGCGAAGCTCCTTTTGCAAATCCTTGACCGTTTTGCGTCCCACAATCTTGCGCAGTCCCATCTTCACGTAGTAGCCCTTGTTGCGTAGCCGTGAGTTGAACTGGTTGGGATTCTCCTCGCGAGCATTGTGAAAGTCCAGGCAGAGATCAGCATCGATGCCAATGCCAAAATAGTTGTTCATGACAAAGATCTGGGAGTTGTCCTCGTTTTGAGCACCGCCTGGCAATTGAGAGAAATTACTTAGTTCAAAGTTGTTCGAATCGTTGGGTGGGGGACAAAACGCTAAACGCACACATTGACACATCACAACAAAAATTGAATTTACAAAACATCGAGTTGGATATATGAATCGGTTTTACCGATGTATTAAGAGATCGAATTCCAGACAGCAGCCGAACTTGATATTTATATACTTTACCTGTGCTCCAGGAGCAACTCGCTCGCTCGCTAGTCGGTAGAACTAACTACAACTAACACGGGTGCATGCAGAGCTCTACTAAGAGCTAAAATATATCGTATATACATTCAAACTACAGCATTTATCATCAGCTAACAAGCTTGACGGAGCAGTCTGCACGGACTTTGCTTTTATATGGTTAAATCGGGAGGCTTGGAATTTATTATTTTAACTACTTTATGGCAGCTAAAGCTCAAATCGGATAGCTCGACATTACATGAGATATTTCTGCAACTTATTGGAAGGATTCAAAAGGGGAATCTCAATGGTAGTAAGAACCTGTTTTCATTTCACTTACTTTGGAGTGAGTTGCAAAAATATTCACAGATAAATAAGTCATATATATCCATATGTGTATAGATATTTTTTTAAGCAGTATTTAAAAGCACATTTCAAATTACAACATGAAGTGAAGAGCTATTGCTTTGTTTAATTTTTTTTACAAGGATATTGGCCTTGGGATTGTGGATGGGGGCATTAGTTAAATTAGACAGTGAAACGCATAATAAACAATAACAAAATTTTGAAACATGAAATGACCTGATATATCACTCGATGTCAGAGCCGGTAATTGATGATGCTGATTTGTTTGTTGCGATAAATGTGCTTGGTGCGCCTTCTTCTTCTTACCAGTGGTTTGTGAGGGCGCCTTCATGGCCGGCTCTTCGGGCTTATCTTCCGGATGGAAGACCACGGTCCAACGATCCAATCTAATCTCCTCGGCCTCGATGACATCACGCAGCATATTTAGGGGATCCTCGCCACCGGTGTAGCCGGAGCCCCAACATAAAACGCGTGCCAGATCGTTGCCTGGCAAGAGTTTGGCTTAGGCAACAGGAAACAGGCGGGGAAAGTGAAGGCTTGTTACTTACCTGTTCCCAACGGCACAATGGCGCACGGCGGACTAGAGCATTCAGAGTCCTGGCCCACGTTATCCAAGCATTGCAGCACCCAGCCAATGGTGCCATCGCCGCCGCATACCAGGATCTTGTAGTTGGTGATTTGCCGGAAAACGTAGAGCCTGTTAATGGAAGGATAGTAGATAGAGATGAGCACCTAGCATGTTCTTACGCATTCCATATAAATTGTCGCTTACCCGGGTAGCGGACCACCGTTGTCCAAGTCAAAGACCTGATACGGGTTAAGTAGTTTTCGAAAGCTCGATATTAGTTCCAGGCCCTGACAGCCGCCGGATTTCACATTTACAAAGACCAACAGTGGCCTGACATCGGAGGGTACCATGCTGGGTTCAATATTTGGCAATAGCAAGACCAGTAGCTTTTTGTCCTCAATGATCGTTTCACGCAGGTTGTAGAAAGCGCGAACCTGATCCGACATATATAAAATTGATAAGGACTCACAACAGTCAGTTCTAAGGTGACAATTCTTACCGCCTTTTGAGCGTCCTCGAATGTTAACACTACCGAACCGTACTCATAGTAAATCGGTCCAATGCTGATGAACTTGTTCTCATCAGTCACGTATTTGTTTAAAATTTGCTCGTAGTTGCGCTGCGAGAGTCCTGTGGGCAGGTTGCCTACAAAGAGTGCAATGTTTGGTCCATGGGGATCCTGTTTGTGCTGCATGTAGAAGCGCATCAGTTCCATTTGACGTATGGAATCCTTGCCCAGATGCTTCATTATATCCCAGGGACGTTCGTTCCACGAGAGTATGCGCTCGGTAACGCCACGGTCGAGCAACACTTCCGAGCACCTGAGAGCGAATTTGGAGTTGGACAACTGAGATATTTGATATGAGTAGTAGCCCTACCTGTAGTCCTGTATTTGGTTATCATGTAGACCGAATTTATCGAGAGCGTCGCGTATCAAATCCTTAATGACAGTTGTATTATCCACAGGAACATTGACATAGGGATCCTCCAGTGAGCACTGCAATTTTCCAGGATAAACGCGCACATGTCCCCTGTCCCTGTCGTGAAACCTCAAATAGATGGCCGGTCGCTTGCCCTCCAAGTGTGTCAGATTCAACACGGGCGTCGGATCCTGCAGCGGTGTATCTTCCATGCCAGCGGGCGCATACATGTCGGTCAGATAGAAGGCCTGCGGATCACGTGTGATGTGAAAAGCTCGCAAGGCGGTGGTCAATAATTGCTCCAGCGTGTATGTACGCTGAACGACGATCGCACGGTACTGCTGGCGTCGGAATGAGTTGTTGCCATCAAACACCTTGATCATCTCTGCAATGGATGGAACGATGGAATTGGTAGTATTGGCCAGGCGAGCGGATGTCCTTAATCGTACTCACCTATATCTTTCTCTTCACGTTCCTTTTCCTTTTTCTCTCGGTCCTTTTCCGACTTATCGGACTTGTGGCCCGACGACTCGGCTCTGTACTGTGTGGAAGAGCCCCCTGAGCCAGGGCCAGTGCCGCTGGCACTGGCAGCAGCTGCGCCTCCGCCACCGCTGCTGCTGCCGGCACCGCCTTGGGCGTTCATGCCATGCGAGGACTCGCCCTTGCCCAGGGATTCCTCGTCCTTGAAGCGGGGCGCATCGCCGCTGCTAAACTCCTCCGATATACTGCGTGCTAAATGAGCGCAGAGTTACAAAAAACAGTTAGTCTCTGCTCTAATCACTGAACCGGACCGGGTGTTAGCTAGAGGTGATCATGCAGTGTCGGGGTTAGTTGACTGTGGATCGATTGTGACTGTGACGATTGTGGCGAAATGTGTAATGCGTGGCGAAACGGTGCGAGCGTGTGATGATTAGTCGAGTTAGTAGTTAATTAAAGTAGGTTAAAAACAACCGATAACTAAAACAGATGGTTAGCTCAATAACTAGAAACAAGAACCAAGAACCGAAATCAAACTTAAGCCAATCGAGCACTGAGTACTGACAGTATACGGCAGTCGGTGGCAGTTGCTGTTAGAGAGAGATTACAAAACGAGTACAAAGATAGCGGTACGCTAATCACCTCTGCGCTTCTGGTAGCGTGGCTTGCGCCAGCCGGCGGACAGGCCGCGCACGCGCCGCAGCAGGCGGCCGAGCACGTGACCCGGTGCCTGGCCATCGGCATCGCTGGCACGGGATCGACTGCTGGCGGCGCCATCGCTGATATCGCCAGCGATGTCCTCGCCACTTAGGCCACCAACGCCACCGACACTATGCGGTCGATCGTCCAGATACAAATCCTCGTAGTCCACATCGTCGTAGCCATCGGCATCCGTATCGTGGGGCAGACGCGCCGCGGACAGCATGTGATAGTTGTCATCGTATGGCTGATAGTTGCCATCCTCATCCTGTATGGTTATCTCAATGTTTTGCGACAGTCTGTCCAGGCTGTAGTTGCTCTTGGCGCCGCCCTTGGGCGAGCGCTTGGAGCGGCGACGCTGGAACAGACCGCGTCCGTATTTCTTGTTGCGGGCGATAGCCGGCTCCTGGAACGACTTGCTGCGGCCCACAGGGGACAGTTGCAGGACCGCCGAGGTCGGAGCGGGGGATGCCGAGGAGCAGTCGCTGGAATTGGGAGAGCTCACCGATCCGCCCTTGTGCTTGGGCGCATTGAGTATGGGCTTGGGCTTGGGCTTGGGCTTCGCCTTCAAGAGAGCTGCAGTCTTTGGGTTGCGGCCAGCGAGCACGCTTAAGGCATGTGCAGCATCAGCCGTGGGCGGACCAGGGGCGGGGCCCTTGCCCTTGGCTGCGCCTGAGGCTGTGCCTGTGGCTGTGCCTGTGGCTGTGGCAGTGGAGCGCGCTTGATTCTTGCGCTGCTCGGAGGTGTTAGAGGTGTTACTATTACTACTATTATAGCTAAGGTTGCTAATCAGATTCATGCTGGAGTCGAGATCGTCGGTATTGGTGAGTTCACCACCCGTATCGGATGTCTCGTAGCAGCTTTCCCGAGGCGCCGTCTCCAGCTCCACGTCGCCATGGTAATCCGTCTCGCTGACGTCGCGCGGCGATCGACGCGTACAGCGCTTGCGCAGCGAGACATCGCAATGATCGTAATCGTCGCTCAGGTCTCCGCCGCTAATATCACAGACTCCGCCATCCAAATCATCGTCGTCGTCGTCGTCCTGCTCGCTGTTCGAGGCGCCGCGACGTCGACGTCGGCGCGCATGGTTCAGCTTGCGGAACAGACTTGTGTATAGCAGATGCAACGAGGAGTTGGCCGACGGAGACTTTTGCAGTGGCCCCACATTACTGGAGGCGGTGGTCAGCTGAAAGGCGCTATCATGCTCCGTCGTGTTGCACTGCTGTTCGTAGTCGTCCTCCTCGGCATCTGGCTCGTCCGGGTCCTGATAGCCGCCGGCTAGCGAGTTGCTCGTGTCGCCCACTGTCAGCGAGGGCGTGGGTGAGACACAGAGCGATATGGAGCCACAGGATGTGGGCGTGGGCGGCGTTGAAAGTAAAAAATGTTGTTTCGATTGCTCAAGACGCTGTCTGTGGAGCTCGAGGAGCTCCTTGAGACACAAACCCGATGCACCAACTTCGCCAGCCGCGGCCTCTGCACCGAGCTCCGGGCTGGCTGCCAAACCAAACCAAAAAAGAAACGTTTAAAATAACACAAGAAAAACTTAATAAATGAATAAATCGAAATGAAAGGAAGCAATCGACAAACAGACAAACAGAGTTTACGAAATGAAGAAATAGACCACAGTTGTAGACTGAACCATTTTCAATTTGAAAACAAAATAAAATAATAAGAATAATAAGAAGAAGAAGTAGAAGACATAACAAGACGAAAACTGTTTGCGATAGTGTAACTAGGTGAGAAGAGTAGGATGAGGCTTGAATAGTTGAGATGATAGTCCATGGATCTGAGAATACATTTAAATGTGCACAACATCGAGAGCTGATGCAGCTTATTGGGTGAGTTTGGGTGAGTGAGCTGTTGTGAGCCCGTTGGCTGGCTGCCGCATTTAGGCCATGGCAAATGGATCGCGCAATCGATGCGATCGAATTTCGGATACGTTTGCTAGAAATGAGGCCAGTTCGGTACTTACGACAGGAATAGTCGCGTACGAGCGACGTCTTCGATTTGACCTGGACGCCTATGATCGCCTCGATGGGCACCTCTGTACGTGGTATCGACACTGAATGCGGAGGTAAGTAGATAGGTTGTAGAATACCAAAATTACATTCGGTTGACAGGTACATGCGACATCCAGCGTGTGTGGTCATGCCACACCACTCGCAGCGATAGCCTGAGCGGATGATGGGAAACAATTGATTAGTATAGGGAAGATTCTATCGTATAATCATCCACTCACCTGTGAGGCATTCCGAAGACCAACAGGTTTTCTTGCAGTAGGCGCATTTGGACGTTGATGGAAGATTGCCCTCCCGCCAATGATGCTGTGAATCATATCAGATTTCTCATATCTACCATCTGTATCATCCATCTATTATTTGTTACTCACTTGATGCCTCACATTAAGCAATTCCTTGCCTGGCACGTATGTTGCATTCTCTGTGCAATCGGGCACTGCGAAATCTTGGCACTCAATATGTGCGAAATATTCGCAAACTGTGAAGGGGGTTATATTATTTTATTATAAATATATACTTGGGTAATAAATAAAATAAATATATTATTGTAAATAAAAATTTAAAATTAATTTTTGAGGACAAAACTTCTTGGGATTTCTATTTTCAGCATGATCTCACGATTCTATATTAATGTGATGAAAATATAATATGTATAAACGCAAATTGTAATAAATTTTTCTTAGAATATTACGAATTAGCTTCTGGTGCAAAATAAAAATTAAAGTATATTTATTATAAAGCAAATTGAAATTCATGTATCTATATATTACGAATTAGACTTTGACGAAAATGACACGAAAAGTGCATAAAGTTATAAATAAATTGAAAACATGTTTGACATGAACAGGAATTGGTTATGAAATGCATTTTAAATTAACAGACAGCCCTCAAACCGGGACAGGAGCGAGCCTCGAGCCATTCTACTCGTCGGTCGATGGGGCGCACTGGCTTACCTAAACAATGCACCGCTGGTGTTTCATCCAATCTCTTACGGCATACGGTGCAGAATTTTCTCTTGTGATGGGTTGGTTCCGACCAACAATGGGCGACGGGATTCTGTCCAACGAGATGACAGTTGTCAAGTTATTCAATGAAAAGCAGATAGGCGGCGTGCATGCATGTATGTAACGTATAATGTAGACATACATACATGCATGCATGCCTGCATATATATGTATGTATATGCGATAGTGTACGCACCTTTATAATGCATGGCGCAATGCCGGAACAGGGCGTTACAACGCTGGTGACACATCGTTCGTGTATAATAAAGTTGCAAACTGCAAAAGAGAGAAACAAAACGGGAAAGTCATGAAAGTATCATTCAATTGCATATAAAGGCATCGTTCTCTCTAACTATGTAATGCCAGTGCTTATCTATATGAAACAGACATGTATATAGATGAATATGTATATACGTACATATGTATATATGTACATATGTATATGCTAGTTCCATAAATTTACCCCCAAGTATATGAGTCGCTGTGCATTTGTAGTACAAACAGCCAAAGCTGCTTAAAAAATGAACTTAAACAAGAAAGAAAGCTCTAGTCGAGACTGCTCGACTACGAGATCCCCTG